GGCTTGTCTGGATACATCAGGTCTTCGAAAATACAATCTAAGGTCTCTAGGCTCCCCAGACATTCGCTGCGTAGCAGGATGTATGGACAAGCAGAGACGTTGCACGCATAAAATAGCGCCGAACCATTGGAAAAGCTGATGACTGCAAACGGGAGGACGATGGTTCGGTGCTGCGCACTAGCTATAGATAGTTGGAACAGGAGCGTCGAGTTTGTGGCAGCAGGGGAAAACACAGGCACTAGGACGGCAGGCAAAGGCGCGATGTGGACATCAGCAGCGGCAAACACTTTTAAGGGACTGTGGTGGTCGATATCAAGGCACGGATTCGTCAACGTGAGTTCAGCAGGAGCGCAGTCGACGAGGGCCTGATGGGTAGAAAAGAAATCCCATCCTAGTATGACGTCGTAAGAAGAACAACAATCTTGACGGCGTACCAAACATCTTGAATAAGAACACGTGAGGTGAACTGAGCCGTCGGCGCAACTAAACGGGAGGTGGCTGTATGCAGGGCAAGATTCGTAAGCGGCGTTGTAACTTTTCTCAAATCACGACACAGTTTTTTACTAATTACAGAAACGACGGCGCCTGTGTCGACAAGTGCACGTACAGCGACACCTTCTACTAGCACATGAATTTTGTTGGGCGGGCAAAGAGGAGGTCTTGGAGAGTTTGACGAGGACGCAGTTTTTGCTGCGGTTGTCAGTTTTTCTCTCGAGCGGGGCTCGTGCGCCGAAGCATCGGGGAGACAGATTGGCGCAGGGCAGTAGTGACCGGCGAGAGTCGAGAGGGCGTCGTGGGGACGAGTCGGCTATAGGGAAAGATGGTCGCTGGGGATTCCCACGGTCCGGAGGCTGGAAGTTGCGACGACGGCAGTAGTGTGCCATATGTCCCACAAAACAGCATGCAAAACAGATAGGTCGATTATCAAAGGTGCGCCATGAGTTAACGACAGAAGGTGCAGGGGACGAAGTAGGATGGGGCGCCGTGTATGTAGGCAACATCGTAGGGCAGGAGGATCCGGTGCCCCGGTATGCGCCAGATACAGGTGGGGCTGGTGGTCTAGCAACGATGGCAGCGTAGGTCAGCGGCGTAGGGACAGATGCAATGAAGGCAGTGCCGGCGTGACCTGTGTCTTAATGACCTGACGTAGACGTGGGTCTTGAGGTCACTGGCTCGGATGCTTCGGCCACAAGGGAAAGTTGACGCGAAACTTCTTCACGGAAGAATTGTTTAATGTGGGGTAGTAAGATGGTGTGACCAGCAGCGACATCGTGCACGAGGGCGGAAACTTCAGCTGTATCTTCAGCGGCCCTGCACGTCGAAACACACTGCGTATGCAATACATCGTACTCCTGACAGAGCTGGACAACGTCAGTGACAGTGCGTGGATTCCTAGTGACGAGCATCTGGAAGGTATCGTCATCAACTCCTTTAATGATGTGCTTCATTTTGTCGTGTTCGGTTAGAGATGCATCGACACGCTTGCAAAGAGACAAGACATCTTCGATGTAACTTGTAAAGGTCTTGTCCCTGCGCTGGACTCGACTACACAGACGCTGTTCCGCACGAAGCCGGCGCACGGCGGGACGACCGAAGACCGCGGCGATGGTGGTTTTGAAGGCGGACCAGTTGGTAATTTCGCCTTTGTGGTTCTTGAACCAGAGGCTGGCCACATAAGCGAGGTAAAAGCGCACGTTCGTGAGCTGGTTGCAGGTGCTCAATTTGTTGGAAGCGCTTACGAGTTCGTACTCGATGAGTCAGTCCTCGACGTCATGTTCGTCGTTGCCGCGAAAAATTGGTGGGTCGCGTTGCCGCGAAAAATTGGTGGGTCGCGTTGCCAAGGCGCGCCAGCACGGAAGACTGTCGTTGGTGGGGCAGCTTGAGAAGGGCCAGGAGCAGTCATGATGAATGGTGAGGCTAGCGTCCGATTGCGAAGTTCCAGGTTGATGGGAACCCCGGCTCTTTCACCACTTAAAATAGAGGTGTTGTACGTCGAGAAAGCTTGAGACGCAGCTTGGCGAAAGGTGCTTTATGAGGCAGGTCTGGCTTCCGGCGAGCGGCGTGCGCGAGCTACTGCTACAGCCACCGATCTTCTTCTTTAGTAACAGCAGAGGGTCTGTGATTCAGATTTATTACAATATATATATATATATATATATATATATATATATATATATATATATATATATATATATATATATATATATATATATATATAAATTGCCGTGGGCAGGATCCGAACCTGCGACCTTCGAATAACGCGTTCGATGCTCTATCACTGAGTTACCACGACAGCCATCCCCCCAGCCACTTTATTGGGTATCTATGTCAATTTAAACGTGCGAGTGTCAGTCAGCGCCACTAGTAGCCATGGCGGCGCGTGTGGTACACTCTTCATGAGCCTGTTTGGCGTCACGTAGCACGTGAACTTATTACTAATTGGCAGCTGAGCAATAGTCCACCGTATACAACCTAGGGGCACCAAGTCTGCCAGTAAGAGACCCTCTTTAATGAATAAGGGAAACAAGTGTATACTTAAGGGCTCGTTTTTCGTGTTTTACACAATATTAATGAGATCTAACAGACAATAATGCCGAGGAAGGTATAGAGGAAGTTATTAGGCCAATTGTAATGTAAATGAGAAGAAGGAAAAGTGGGTGAAAAGATAACTTGCCGTGGGCAGGATCCGAACCTGCGACCTTCGAATAACACAGGTCGCAGGTTCGGATCCTGCCTACGGCAAGTTATCTTTTCACCCACTTTTCTTTCTTCTCATTTACATTACAATTGGCCTAATAACTTCCCCTATACCTTCCTTGGCATTATTGTCTGTTAGATCTCATTAATATTGTGTAAAACAGGAAAAAACGAGCCCTTCATTATGAATGAGTACTGCAACAAAATTACAATAATATTGCTGAACTGTATTACAGTTCTCACTGCGGCAATTTAGTACTCGAAACTTTTCTGACCTGCAGATACTGAGACGAGAGTACCTCGTTCTGTTGCAAAGGGAGCTTGTCGAACGTCTTTTGTAAAATGCTCAGTTAACCTTCATTTGCGTAAGGATGGCTGTGTGGCACGGACTGCACCTTCTTGTCCTAAGGGCGAGGGAGTTGGACGGTGTTCGCGGGTGCCCGTGTGACAGGGGTATTATTTTTTCTTTCTATGCCTGCATATTCTTCCTATTTCTCTTAAGCGCTGGAAATGCATCGAGGTTGTGTAGGAGTTAACATTAACATCGGCTAAGAAAGAACAGATGAATAATGAAAGCACGGGTGCGCAACTATTTTGTTTTAAGCGAGTTCTGCCCCTGAAAAAAATTCAATGGCGTATTGATCAGCCAAATCTTGTCGTACCTTCACTTGGTGTCTGATGACTGGAATGAGTAAGGCATTGCAAAACATACAGATGCACCTCCTGTTCTTCATACACTGTATTCGCGGAGACGTGATCACCGTGAACATGTGGGGAGTCTGTATTTGCAGAGACGCGATCACCATGACCATGTGGGGTGTCCTGTTCAGGTAGGCTGAACGTTTCCTAGTAGACAGAAGAAATTAGAGATTCACGAAGCTTCTCTAGACACCCTCCGCCTCTCCAACCCTCCAAGAAAAGGGGGAAAAACATGGTAAGCGCATGGGCTGCCTCACTGAGAGAAACTAGGGACTATCTCCCTAAAGGGAGCCCTGATGCTATGCGAAGCAGCAGCGGTGCGCACGGCGTTGACTCAGTTGAAGTGAGCGTCGACGCGGGTGCTGGAAAAACTGTTAGAAGCGAAACTCTGTGAAGTGTTTACTCGAGTAAGCGTTTGTTTGGAACACAGACACGGGTGGAGGGAGACGTTAAAGGTGCTTGCGCTCGGCTTTTTTGGCTCGCTTCTCAACGGTGTTACCCCCGCGCCGTCTGTATTCTTGAACGCGATCGGTGTTCTTGACTCGCATCTTGTCGTTGTGCTGGTCTCCCACTGCCGACACTTGAGTTCAGCTTGACTGGCTCGCGCCTCGTCGGTGTTGACGTTGTCATTCACGAACGCGATCGGCTTCGCTAACCCTCACAACGCCGGCGATAACAATGGTACGCGCACACTAGCAGGAAGCATGCCGCGACGGCGTACCGCCCATCGGCGCGATCACTCGGCAAGCAGCGGCGCTCTGTCCACATTGTCGGCGACGCGAGATTCTCAAGGTGTGCACAGCACGTGCACCCGCAATCTCGCGGCTTCTCGCCGACAGGTGGGAAGAGGTGGCGTGGGTGAGATGATGGCTACGTGAGGAGTGGATTCGAGCGTTGCGAGCGGTGGAGCGGATGAAGCGAGAGAGAGAGCCGACACACGGTGAGCGCGCGGCAGGCGAAAGAGAGAGACGTCACCGCGCACTGCTAGGAGGGTGGGAGCTACTTGGCAGCACTCCAACACCTGGGGCGAGGGGAGCTGTGCGGATTGAGGGACAGCGTTACACAGTCTAGTCAAAGAGCTGCTTCGCATCTAGAACACTGAAGGATTTGGTCATCAGTCTTCTGATCCAAATATAAAATTGTAAGTGTCCATGCTGCTCTTCATTTTGGCTGCATTTTGTGGGTTTTCTTTTACTATTTACATACTACTGTTCTTAAGCAGCTCAATATGATTCAGCACTGGCAAAAACACAATCCTGCTATCGGTTATTTCCACTGCAGACTAATGCTCCCAAAGTTAAACACACACACACACACACCCACACACAAAAGAATACCAGTGAACAACCAAATGTCTCATCCACATTCCTGAAGAAAAAAAAAAAGGAAACACACACACACACCAAGAGCGTCGTAGCCAGGGGGTGGCACACCGGGCCAGTGCCACCCCCCCCAAAAAATTTATTCACCATGGCATAGAGAGTGGAAAATGACAACTTTAAGGGAGGTGCCCTCCCCAAAATAATAAAGGTGCTCTTCCCCCCCCCCCGAAAAAAAAAATCTTGGGTACAGCCCTGACGCACACGCGCGCGCGCGCGCACACACACACACACACACACACACACACACACACACACACACACACACACACACACACACACACGAAAATGAATACCAGTGAACAACAAAATGTCTCGTATGACCAATGTGCTCTCCAGACCATGCTGACCCATTGGCTAAGCAAAGCACCTTAGCCGAAACCTACAAGCCTTTGTATAACGGCAAGGGTATGTAGTTGGACGTGTTGGTAATACATAACTAATAACGTAGCTCCTCTTTGCCCGTCCTCTTGTCCTGTGTCTCAGTTCTTACGCGCTACGTTATTATTAGTTTTGTATATTCGTTTGAGAATAAGACAAGAGTCAAGTATTGGAAGATGGAGAGTCATTCGTGCGTGATGAGACATCATTGCTGCTACTGCTGTCGGGGAGATCATGTGCTGAGACATTGTAAGGTGACGCCACATGTGGACATGAATGGTGGTGATGACAAGGTGTTGCTGTGGGAGGATGGTAGTTGATGCCCATGGCCTTGCGGATTGCCTCCACACTCACTATGCTTCCTGGCTTCGCCTGCATTTGTAAAAAAGCAACCTCATACATTATTTTTTTTCTTCATAGTACCAAAAAACAAGTTATTAAAATAAATCTTGTGTAACCCTTTTAGGTACTGTACACACCAAGCGCAAAACCCCCGTTGAAATAACGTTGAAGCATGTTTCACGAGATGTGTGCTGCAAGTTTCAATCAATGACAGGTGTATACTATACTGTTTTATTAGGACAAGCTGTCAATACATACGTTGTAATGTTACAAGCTCACTTCTTATATGCGTTTTTCCCAATGTTTTATATTGGGATATATCTAAGTGGCCGGTCGAATGCTTTCAAAAAATGCTAAACTTACACTTTTTGGTCATCTGCCCGGATATGGCAGCTGCACTCATCAGAGCTTTGGTTTCGTTGGTCAATTTGGTTTTAAACTTAATCTTTAACTTTAACCTAACTTTAGTTCCCCATCAACAAGAAGGAATACAAAACTAGTGAGGCTACAGATGGCTGGCAAAAAGCCTCTAACGCCTTGACAACGGACCGTGCCCGATCATTCACAAAACTATACAAAACAAAACAGCAGTAGACAACAAATAGGTGCAAATAAGAAAAAGCTTATACACATTGCGACGGCTTATAGGCACATTTATCAGTTTATATTTAGATGACACGACTAAAAATGGTGGCGGCAAAAATCGCCCTCACTTTAGTTATGGTAGGCTATTCAATTGTTTAGTTTACCGTATTAGTCGAGGAGGTAAGAGTCTATGGTAGCAAGTACCCCACCATTTGGCAGCCATTGTTAGTACGAGTGTAGCAAATGTTCCACGTGTGACTGCTTCATGCGGCATGTTTTTGAAAGTGGAGTTGGGGCGGCAAGTTTTCTTAGCAAAGAGTCATTTTTTTTCTGAAATAATAATCATTTTTGCGATATGCTTGATACAGTTTCAAAAGAAAAGAACAGGTTCGGCAATTATGTTATTCCAAGATCTTCAAATATAGGCTTTGTATGGGCATCATAAGGTTCGTTGGAAGTGATTCTTACGGCTTGTTGCTACAGGCAATGAATTTTGGACGAGTTTGTGTCAGTCGTTGTGCCCCATATCAGATATCCATATAGTATAATAATGCAGATGAGAAAAGGAAATTGTATAAAAACAATTTGATGTGCTTTGATTGAAGGTAATAGAGGTGTGTTTGAATACCCACTATTTGTGAAAGTTTGAAGAGGACAAGATTAATGTGCGTGTTCTCTTGCATATTTTCTTCAAAAAAAAAAACACAACACACATAACGTCATTCGGGAATTACCTTAACTTCAAATATTCAATATACTAAGCGCTTTATTCCCTGTTTTTTGTTTTTTTGCAGAGGAAGACTGTCATGTGTCAAAGATAAGCCTGTGAATATTATTACTCCACGATTGCTACCTGAGGCCACTTTTTAGGATCGCAAAGTGGCAATTGTTCCTTTGCAGGGAGGACTTCCAATTCCCTAATGTGAACAGACCACCTGTCTCCTCTCATTAATAAGTAATAATTTTAATTTCTATAATGTTTCAATTCATGTCTAGACATCTTAGGATCTTTGCTACTACATAAATAGTAATCACAAGGGCAGCAAGCCCATATCATAACCCCCATTCTTGAGAATTTTTGGTATACATTTTTTTTAAACACCCTGTATTTTTCAAGTGCCCTTGAAGATGCAAAAGCTCCAAGACTGCTGATGTCTTTACCAAGTTGAATTGGTCTATTAAAGCTATAAAAAAAGAGTTTGTCGTACTCAGCAGATTTTTCATTTACCCTCGTGATCACGTGGCTGTTCCATTGTAGAAAACCTTTTCTTGAAACCAGCTTGCTTTCTAGGTTGATTGATGTCATATGTACATTATACTGTTTCAATCCCCTCTGTAAACATTTTTGATATAATACTGAAAGCAAGCTGATGGTTTCATAACTTGTACTTATGAAATGTTAAGCTTTTCCAAGAAAGCACACTGGCACATTTGAAGTTTTGAAAGATTGAGTGTATAGCCTGTCTTATATAGCACAACAAGTTTCTTAAATGGCCAGTGAATAACCACGAGGTCCAAAAACTTAATGAAGAAAGTGCTATAATAAGGAAATGACAGGGTTTACAACATTTGTTTCAGCTTCTTCGCCATAAAGAGGGGAAGGAGCAGTCAGTCGTCGTGACTCCGCCCACTTCGGCAACGTGACACGACGTCCATGATACGTCATCGGCGCGCAAACAATAACCGAGTGGGGCTTCCTCCACATGAGCACGTGTCATAGCGGCACTGGCAGAAAACACGGAGCGAGTTGCACTTTTCCCCTTGCAAGAAGTAGTAAGACACCTCTTTATCTTCGAGGCTCTCATTCTGGCAACACCGCTTCTCCCGGTCTCTCTGGCTTTGCAAAACCGTAAATGGCAGCACAATAAAAGGAAATGCGGACAGCGTGGCTTAAACTGCATTGCCGCAGGGCCAAGGCGCTGTTTCGTAGGGCAAAGAATTAATGAACGAGCTCAGTGGTGCGTAACGTTACCCATGGGCAGGCAAGTTTTCGTCAGGCTGCGCGTACAAGGGGAATTGAACAGGTGAGGGAAACAGCCGCCTGATTGTTTTTCAATATGCAGGGTCTGCACAGCAAGCAGCGCTGTAATATTTGGCAAAAGTGATCGCCATGGTGTACTGTACCATTGGCTAGCTTGTTTGAGGGGTGTAAAAAAGTCTGAGCCTGTTTACTGGCCCTTTATATACTCCCCCCTCCCCCATACCTTTGATAAAATAAAGTTATGTCGGCTTCTCCAGCCACTCTTTCGTGGGGCATATCTAATGTCGCCCTTCTAGCCATGTCGGCAGTTATACGAGTTTCAGTGTCCTGTTTGATTTTGCACGAGAATGAAGGACTTATTTCAGAACTGCACAGTTGAGAATAGAAGGCTTTTGACACCTTAGAAGTTCTCTACGCGACACAGTACTAAGGTAAGGTCTTGACCCTGAGCTACAAATCTTTATCTATTATGAGGATGCAATGACATATCTATAAAAAAAAGGCCAAACTCACATGAGAAGCCAGCTCTGAAAGTGTCTTTGCGATCTTCTCAGCTAGAAGCAGAAAATAAAGGAAATCACTCAAGGAATACATTTAAAGGCTGCAGACAAAAAAGCCAGCTTTTAAGAGTGCAAAAGCAGCTGCTATATTTTAAAATCAATGAAATATTTCACAGAATTGCATTCAAGTCACGACACACATTAACAGTTCGCAATCACGCTATGCTTTCGTAATTTTATTCACTGTATTCTTTAACCAATTCTGTCAATCCTGTCAAGGTCAAATTTATAATTAACAGCCTTCAACCGCTTTATACCAAACTTGAAATCAGCTGGCATGGGCAAATGTGAGTGTGTAGCAAATGCAGTCAAGCGCTGCATTGCCCTCTCGCATACCAATAAATATGTCTATTAGTACAAATAGCATCAGCATTATAGGTAGCTTAGTAGTGCATGCATTTGCCAGGACCAGACTGCAAGGCTCCTTCTGTACTCTATCAGGGTTACAGAAGGAATATAATTTCATAAACGATGAACAAAAAGTAAAACACGAAGGGTTCAATTTTGTTCCCTGGACACCATTAGAAGCTAAGAAAGCTATAAAAAATTATTACAGTCGAGCCCACATATATCGGCACCACTTAAAACGAACTTTCGCTTAAAACTAACAATATCTGCGTGACCGTTAAAATATACATTGGTTCAATGGCACAAAACCGCACTTACAACGAACGTGTCCAAGCGCTGCTGATCGGTTACAGCGAATGGAGTCAGCGGTCTGCAGACTTCCCCGGAAACCGATTTCGACCACCGATCAGGCATCAGCGAGGTGCTCATACATTCTTATTGTTAAACGCCAACCCTGCCTCCGCGCCCCTCTAGTTGCCGCTCTCCCCGACCGCTTTTTGTTACGCACCCCTCTGTCCTTTGTCCCCCCCCCCCCTCCCCGCTACCCTGAGTACCGCGCATCGCCAGACGAGGCCCATGTTTTCACACTGCCACCGATCTTTCTAAGAACGGTCGGCCATCAACCCTGTTTTTGATTGCTGGTACTGTTGTTGGCGTCGCCGGCCTGGAGTGACCAGACCATTTGCCAACATCGTCGGCCACCGACTGTATCCGATAGTCTGCGTCTAGTGCACGCGTGTACGCTACCCCACCGACTCTAATAATTTGCAATTAGTTTCGTGTTTAGGACTTGTTTTCGCACACTTTGCACTCGGCTGAGCATGCCTTCCGCGCGCATGCGGAAGCGCGAAAACGACTGTTAACTTGTGTGGAATGAATCGCCAAATATCGAAGTTCGTGAGACCACGGAAACCCGCCGGCGCAACGAAACGATTTTTTGACAACGGCCGCCGATTCTACGAACGCCGTGGCGCGCATCGATTCAGGCAGCCATGCACTCTTTCTAAGTTTTTCTACGTGTGAGTTTCGCGGACCTTTCAAGCAAGGTACCCAACCTGCCTCCTTCCCATGTGTTTTGGTTTTCAAGGTCGCCCTCCCGCCGCATCCTTCCCTCTCTTTATCGCAACTCCTTGCCCCTCTCTCGCAAGTCTGCTCCCTCTCGTGTTCACAACCCCTTCATGCGTCTCCGCCGCTCCGCGACGCCCGCCACGCTGGCTCAAATTAGTTTCATTTCTGACTGAAAACGGGCCTAGAGCTGTTCCACGCGCTCTAGCATGTGTGTCGCGTGTGCACGTCTTGCTCGCTCTTGGTGTGCGTGTGTGGTCATGATGGCTGACGGGAGGACTAGCACGCTTTTTCGTGCCACTCAACAAAACATCGTAACTGTGACCGCTTGGCTTGAGCGTAATCAGCGCGTTAGGTGCCGCGTTGCGGAGCGCTTGCTCATAGCTGTTGACCACCTGGCAGCCAACTTGCCGCTTCGGGCGTCCCGGTATTCAGCTTTGGAGATGGTGAATATTTCGTGGGCGGCGGTGACGACTACATGCGCGCGAAAATGTTTTCGCGAGGCCGACTTCGTCGACGTCGGGCCCGATGCCGAGCCTGAAGCTTCCGAACTGCGGCAGCGATTTGCGGCAGCGCGTCATCGACTCCGACCTGGGAGAGCAGGTGGGACATCTATTGCGATGGTTTAATTACGGCCAATGGTGATGCCGACACTGCGGAACCACGGAACCGTGCACGGATTTGGGCATTGTGAATGAAGTACGTGGCGAGAGCGATTTGGACGAATCGTATTGCGAGAACGATGAAACTTTGGAACCAATGCCTCATGCAGCTTATGCCATGGGCCTCGGCGAACGAGCACCCTGCCGTTTTAAATGAACTCGAGACCGCGCTCATCGCTTCTGCTCTTTGAAACACGTGCATCACGGACTTTTTGGGGCAAAAAAAGTTTCTGTTTTCACTTGCAACTTTTTTTAAAAGCTGTGTTTCATACAGCGAAGGGATGCCACGTCACGCTCAGGTTCGTTATAAGGGGGCTCGACTGTATATGAAAGTTCATTTGAAATGTAAAAAAGACAAGTAAATAGTAATTTAAAAAAGCAAATGAATTGTGCAAACAAAATAGTAACTTGCACACTGGTGGGTATGAATCCCCCTTTTCCTAATACATGTGTAATGTTCAAATTTTTTAAATGTTTTCCTTGCCTTCATTGCCTATTGCCTTGATGAGATAGCACATCACAAAAAAACAAGCCTTAAGCTCCCTTCTTCAATGCACAGAGAAGAATGCGATCATTGTATTTTGATGCAATCAATGTCGGTGCATGAAGCTTTGGATAAGCTTGCACATTTTTTCATGCTTCCAGTTGTTGGAGAAGAAATCTACGTTCCGCACTAAGCTCCTTCTCACATCTCTACACCCTACTTTCAGTCACTTAGCCTATAAAAACAGAGGAATGCTGGAGATATGCCTAACGTAAAAGATGTAAGCACGTTTGTAAATGTACACACCACAATGCTTAAAATGCACCTGTTGATGCCGATGCAACTAACCAAAGCAAAAAGTGAATCTACAGCAGTTGTCATTATAATAGGGAATATATGAGTGAGAGGCACATGAGCAAAATCTGTGGGGGGGAATGGTTGCATTTTCTTTTAGTGTCTGTACTCCTGTCAAGAATGATACCAATGCCTTCTTTTTTTCCTTGTTACTATTTCTTTTTCATAGCCCTTTTTTATGGTAACATTTCTCTGAACAGGAACATGTGTATTGAAATATAATCAGAATTGTTCCTATAACTATTGATGGGGTTTTATACGCCAAAATGACATCATTACGAGGCCTGCTGTAGTAGGGGACTCTGTATTATCGAATTTACTCTGATAATATGCGCATGTTTTTTTCTGTCACAATTTTAGGGCTTTGAAAAGGGGGTGTGCAAACTACATGACTGTTTATCGAATGCACACGAAATAATGAGTAATAGTTATAATGCGTACAATATACACATTTAAAAAAAGAACAAAAAAGGAGCACAAACAAAGTGCACTTGTTTATTTAACAGAATTAGCACGTACTTTATTCAGTAAGATGCAGTCACGCACGGTCTTGTTGGAATCACTGATCTAGAGGTGCGATAGCAAATCATCGTCGCGGCCGCTGTCACCGCCCTCCTAAAGAGCATTGTCTCCAGTTCTGTTGAGTGCATTTGAATAGCCCATTTTCTTAAAACTCTTCTTGTTGCTGGCAGAAACTACCTCCCACGACACAAACACAAGCGTTTATGCATAATTGAAAAGGCCTTCTTCAACAGCAGGAAACTTGTATTAGCAAGTGCCCACTGTTCTGCTTTCTCCCATACCGAGCGCGCCAATCTTCACACGGAAGAACTTCACGCTGAAGTGCTTGGCAGCGGCACGGTTCCCGTTTTCTTTGGCAAACTTTATAACAACGAGCTTGAATTTCACCATACATATAATTATTGTAGCCCATATCAAGGGAACAGTATAAACGCGACAGACACATGGCGAAACCTAAACTTCCGAAGTCAGCCAAACGTGCATTGCAGCGTGGATGCATATAATGAGGCGAACATTAGATGTGACAGGGTGACAGGCCCTAGCACGCCTCCGATGCAAAAAGTTCTAGGAAACGCTCGAAGCAGTTTCGGCAATCCGTGAACCAGTATGAGTGTTCGAGTACAGTATTCTAGTATGCCTAGTTTGAGCCAAGTCCTCCGAAACAAATTCTACGCAGAGAAGGAAGGTCTTCGCACTCGCAGTCCGTTTTACTGCACTCGCCTGCTTGGTGAGGCGTGTGACCCGCACCAATTCGAAGCATCCAACAGTTCATTCTGCGGGCGTGCGGACGAGTTGGCTCGGGCGGGTCGGAGAGCACAAAATATGCAAGTGAATGTTTTTTTTTTAAAGCTGGCAAAATTTTTTAAAGCTGGCAAAAGCTGGTTGCACAAATTATGTGAGGGAGCAAATTATGCAAGTAAATACGGTAATTTTGACCATGTGGATTCTTTTACATACATTTAAATCTAAGCACAAGGGTGTTAGCATCTCTTCCCCATCCATATGTGGCCACTATAACCATGAATTGAGTACGTTATTTCAAACGGGCCGTTGCTATCACAGCTGCAGAAGTATTTAGAGCAAAATATTTTTTACATATCACTCTTGCTCTTACTATCTCACAAGCCATTAATACAAAAGCAAATCATCATCATCATCATCATCATCATCATCATCAGCCTGACTACGTCCACTGCAGGACAAAGGCCTCTCCCATGTTCCGCCAGTTAACCCGGTCCTGTGCTTGCTGCTGCCAATTTATACCCGCAAACTTCTTAATCTCATCTGCCCACCTAACCTTCCGTCTCCCCCTAACCCGCTTCCCTTCTCTGGGAATCCAGTTAGTTACCCTTAATGACCAGCGGTTATCCTGTCTACGCCCTACATGCCCGGCCCATGTCCATTTCCTCTTCTTTATTTTAACTATGATATCCTTAACCCCCGTTTGTTCCCTAATCCACTCTGCTCTCTTCTTGTCTCTTAAGGTTACACCTACCATTTTTCTTTCCATTGATCTTTGCGTCGTCCTCAATTTAAGCTGAACCCTCTTTGTAAGTCTC